AAAGCCTTCATAGGCAGACCATGTCCCAAAAGAACTGGAGAACTACTCTCAATGAATAGGAACCAGTTGAAAGTGATAACAGGGTTCATGACTGGGCACGCCCCAGTAAAGGGACACTTGAACAAAATTGGCATGTACAACGGGGAACTAATGTGCCGACTATGTCACAAGAAACCAGAAACGGCCAAACACATACTGTGTGAATGCGAAGCTCTAGATCGCAAAAGACACGCTCTTTTTGGACAACCCAAGGTTGATCCAACAACGTATAGAACCCGCTCACCCAAGGATCTGTACAAAACTTGTACAAAGTATAAAGGTGACAGAGTGGGTGCTATGAACTAACATGGGGTAAAACACAATAAGCCAATAGGATTCAGTGTTATTCGGAGACACATAGTCAGACGAGCCCAGGAGAAAAAAAAACAGAAAAGACTAATCTACACAAAGTGTTCTCGCTAATGATGACACAACAGGCAAATATCGAGATGGAGGAATATTCTCACCCACAACCATAATTAAAACTATTCTATACACAAAGTATAGCAAAGTACGATTGAACAATGAATTCTATGAAATACCGGTGAGCGACTACAAAGGTTATCATAAGCAGGAATAATACTAGAAACTATTCTGTGTTGACAAGTGTTGGATAAACCATTGATTTAATATGAACTTACACGTAAAATCAATGGAAGTAATATCTGAGGAAAGTACTGACCAAAGGCGATATATCTGCTCTTCGAATCTTATTTAAGAACGAATTATTTTTTTATTTCATTTATATTGATGATCAACAATTTGAACCCAAATATTTATAGAAAACTTGATCCTGGATATTAGCGATACACAAGTCCATTATTACGATAGCTAAAATTAATGAATTGGGCTTTGAATTACTGCCACATGCACCCTATTCGCCAGACTAGGCGCCTTCGGACTTCAGTTTATTTCCAAGCTTAAAAAATTTCAATTTGAAAGTTATTGCCAGCACAAATGCCTATTTTGAAGAGCTGGATGAATCGGCATGTAGAAGCGGTATAAATGGCCTTGAAGGGCGAAGTGTTTTGAACGATCAGGAGGCATGTCGAAAAACAAAAGGATTTCTGAGTCCATATTTTATTTTTTCTCTCTCTTATGTTGGAAATTATTCATCAAATACTCGGTAAGTGTAATGTTGTTACGCTAGGGGAATCTGAGATTAGTATTTATACTTCAAGTACATTTAATATAAATTCCATCAATAATTGTACGTTTTATTAATATTTAAGGAATTTATATTATCAAAGAGATGGCCAATGTCGCCATTGACGTTACAGAATACGAATAAAACAAGAACGAAGTGTTGATTGTGATTGTATTTCCATTATTCTTTACCCCTAATCCCAAAAAGATTAATTTCGCCAGTTCCAAGATTTTTATACACAGGGTGTCCCACTAGTGCGTAACTGTTCAATATTTTAATTTGTGTTATAGTCACGTAAACAAGTTACAGATAAATTATTTACAAATATTTTTGGATATACAGGGTGTTGCGTTTTTGCCTGACAAATAATAATGTATATTTTTTTAAATAGAATAATAGAATAATTATTTCAGTTTGAGAATGGTTTAATAATACTGTATTCAACTCTAGAATTTTATTTTAAATATTACAGGGTTGCCAAGAAATTAACTACGCTACCGCCCGATTTGCAGCGATAGTGTTAATAAATAATAGTAGAATGACATTTTTATTTTTAAGGCTGGCTTATTTTTTACCGACTAGAACGAATAGTCCTAAGTTGGCTACATCGAGAAAATCTATCTGCAAAAATTTCAATTTGTATACCAAGTGGTTGAATTTTGGATAAAAAAAAAATTTAAGTAAAGTCCATAAAACATTAAGTATCTTGGTAATAGAGGACTTATATACAGGGGAAGTGCAACTAACAAAATAAAATTGACACTAATGACATAAGAAATCGGGTCACATAAAGAGGCTGTTTTTTTGTTTAATTTTTGGTTTTTTATATACAGTGAGCATCATAAATCTTATTCCCCCTAACTTGTTACTGGAGTCTTGTTAGGAAAATCGCCGAGACACGTCGATTTTTTATTTCTACATTGTACATTTTTGTATGAATAGTTTATCCTTAATTTCATCCCTTACTGGAGGGGAGCAACCCTTTCGAAAAATGAGTGATAGCTCATTTGAAAGGTGGTTTTATTCTCTATTCAACCGTGCAAAAAATTTTAAAATTACCGTAACGTAAAAAAGACTTTTTTAAGCTATTGCATAGCTTTTATCGCGGGCTTTGAGCGCGGCGACCGAATCAAGAAATTCCGTAACGACCGTTTTTGATATTTTGTTTTTCCACCTGCGTTTAAATTTGTATCTCTGATCTGCTTTTATTATTGCAAACTCTAGTGAGAACTGAGAAGAGATACTTATAAACATATTTGTTGCTGTAAAGCTTTTCATTTAATATGGATTATGTAACGCTATTACCCGAAAACGTACCTGGGGTGATGTTAAGTGAAAATATATCTACAGAAGACCATTCTGTACAGGAACTAAAAAGATGATTAGAATGCAGAGGCCTTATTAGCCTTATAAAAACTGGTCCTAAAGAAAAACTTATAAGAAGGTAAATACATCACAAAAATGCCAGACCATCCTAAACTTACTGGTTATAATATCACATACAGGTCAGCACAATAATGTGTACAAGTTACACATCTTGAAGATGGCTATCTTTAGTCTTTACATCGCAGACCTAACAGTTCGGCCTGCGTTCATAGATGGAGATACCAATGATCGCTTGCTATTTACGTGACTGGTAGTACTGTATTATGGAGCAGTCTGTTGCCCCGTATTAAGTATTTTATCAAAGTTCTTACTTTTACCTCTGATATTAATTTAGACTAATTTATTATGTATTATCATACTTTTTCTGTAAAAAATTTCCTGGGACTAGAACTATTAGAAGTTTAACTTGTCTCTTCTAAGTTTTTAACTTCAAATTTCAAGTTTATTAATTTCTTTTCTGTTTTATATAGATGAAATATATAAAATATTTATATAACAGAGACCATATAAAATTTAAAAGACAAAGATAAAAAAATAGGTATGCATGAACTGTATCGTATTTGGAAAGTCACATTTGGTTCATTAATATGATTTTATTTTATGGGCTTTATATAATAACATCTACAAGAAGTAAAAAGACTTGCTTGGATATAACATGAATGTCACATCTTGCTTGGGAACTTCCAGTAACGTTGAATAAAGCGCTATAATATTACCGCAACGTCTACATTGTTTCATCACAAAAGTAAACGTCCCTATTCTGGGCTTAGACGGTTATGAGTCCGTCCCATAGATGAAAACAAGAGTAAAAATAAGAGTTTCAATGTAACAATGTGATGTAAAGTTCTCATTAATTTAACGTTTTTATGCATAGTGGGATACAAATTTAAACGCAGGTGGAAAAAGCAGAATATCAAAAACAGAATAAAAACGAAACAAATTCAATACAAAATGCTGCTGATACAAGTAAACATACAACACTAGACGCAAATCTATGGTTACGCCCATGGTCTGCCGAGAAAATTATTGACAGTTGACAAATTTGATCAACCTCTAGAAGTAAAATACCCTTAACTAAAAAGTCTGTTTTTCTTTACGGATAGAATATGTTATGTAAAAGATATAAAAACCAAAAATTAAACAAAAAACAGCCTCTTTATGTGACCCGATTTCTTATGTCATTAGTGTCAATTTTATTTTGTCAAATTGGTTGCACTTCCCTTGCATAGAAGTCCTCTATTAGTTATGATAGATCCATTAATAGTGGGTGATTTCGCATTATCCAAGTGTCCCACACCTACAATTAACGTACATTTCACTTTGAAAAACCCTATATAATGACGAAAACATGTTTTACCCTTATAGGGACAACCGCTATTAGTTCTACAATAACAAAATATTAAAACAAAATCTAAAATGAAAGAACACAGCACCATCAATACGTTGAATAAGTTCCATGACCTGGCTAGACCGAAATGGAATGGGGTGAGTCCGACCGAACCGCTGACGCTCGTGTCCCTTCATACTTCGTCTGTCTGTGCCCGTGTCTGCGTCTGTGCCCATCCCTAACCATTTTGTCTGTTAGGGGAGTTTAATTTTCTCCTTTTCCCGGGATTAGACGGCTCTGAATTATGGACCAACCCTACACTGGAGCTCTATACAGAGATGTTTTGCAAAGCCAGACCCCCTCTGTATTTTTATAATTTAATAAACATATTGAAGCAATTTAGTGAACAATAATAATAGAAGTAACTGTAAGTAATTGTAGGTCTATATAAATAACCAGTTTTTGTTAAAGAGTTCATATTTTGATAAGTGTACCAATGCCGTCTTACGTTTTTGTTTATTGACATAATTATTTTTAATTTTATTCCTATTATTTAATTACTTTTTCAATGCTATACTGCTCAACCTTAATCGCCAAGCATGTAGTGATATATGTAGAAGGTTACATGACCGATTATGCTAAATAAATTAATGAAGCCGTTTTATTTGCTAATCTTGACAAGAATGAATAATTCGAGATGGAACAGTATTTGTACTTTAAAACTATAATTTAAACTCATAATAAAATGAATATTAGAAATTAATTGTTACTTTCATTTGCAGTTTTTTGAAGGAAACTTTTACAGGGTGTCCACCCCAAGTTAATTTGTAAATTTTTTGACTATCAAGGACTTTCAGAAACAGTTTTATTTTGACCACACTGTTAAACAAGATTGGTAAATATCGTCCAAATTTTTTCTGAATTCTTATCTAAAAGAAACCAATTTTTTAAACACCGTCAGTCAAATTCAATTATAGGCATATACCAATTAATTTTGTTTTCTACTACCTTTACAACACATTTATCTAGTATCACCTATATTTTCATAAACGGGGTCAAAGAGGATTAGAGCCGAATATTCAATAAATAAAAAATACTTACTGAAATCAATTAGAAGTCTCCCATATCCTTGACGTTGATAAGGAGGTAACGTTAAGATACATGAGACATTGTAGTTCAAAAAAGAATTCTTTTCCTGCAACAAAAATAACAATATTGTAATGTTTATTTGTTTAAACAGTTTGTTATTTAATTTATTTATACAAAGACATTCATTTTCTATTGAAATGGCTTTAATTTTATTAATACAAGACAACAAGACATCGACTATATAAGTTGGCGTCGGTAGTGCATCATCTTCAAGTTGCATACGTCACTGATGACGCTGTGACCAGTGACAGTTGTTGCCAACTTAGCAGTAGTTACCAACTTAACTAAATAAAGGTAGCTTCACATAACAGCATTCAACTGGCAAACCAACTTATTGGCCCACAGATAGAAATAAAATACCCGACTTAATAGACTTTTATTGTACGATATATATTCCAAATTGATGAGGCATGGGATATGAATTCAGATCATTCGCCTATTCTTCTTACTCTTAGCGACACCATTATCCAAAAGGAAAGCGCTATTAGAATAATAAACAGAAGAACAAATTGGCAAAGCTTCAGATTGGACCTTGAAAAGAAAATGAATCTTTCAGTTCCGTTAAGAACAAAAACACAGCTAGATGAAGAAGTAGATATAATTGTGTCCAACATACAACAAGCAGCATGGGATAATACCCCACCTATTGCTCAGCGAACAACAGGAAATAACTATCCTAAAGAAATAAGGTACTTAATCTCTGCAAAAGGAAAACTAAGTAGGAAATGGCATGAGATCAGAGATCCATCTAATAAAACCAACCTTAACAACGCCAACCAGCTGTTAGAAAGAGATAAAACGAATCAAAAATGAATCTATTACTGAGTATAATAGTGAGTTGACAAACTATAAATCCACAGATTATTCTCTATGGAAAGCCACAAAGCGATTGAAAAGGCTCACTGTGCAGAACGCTCAAACCAGGAATACAGATGGCAGCTGGGCTAGAAGTAACATACAAAAAGTTAATAGATTCGTAGCGCACTTACAAAATACCTTCCAACCAAATTAAGGAGAATAATTACCGAATTGAGTTCTTCCAGGGAGAGATGACTCAATCATCAATCTCTCCAAAGGAAATTGCAAATATTGATTGATTTAATTACAGGAGAAATGTTAAAACAACTTCCGAAGGAAGCCCTAATTAAACTTACACACCTGTTTAATGCCTCATTCAAACTAAGGTATGTCCCTAGATTGTGGAAAGTAGCCAAACCAAACGAAGTTTCATCATATAGATCAATATCTCTATTGTCCATATTATCGAAACTATTTGAAAAAAATACTAATGAAAAGAATAAAAACCGTCATTGAACAAAGGAAACTAATTCTAGATCATCAGTTCTGCTTTAGAGAAAACCATTCAACTACAGATGAGGTTCATAGAGTCTCAAATGCAAATGAAAAAGCATTAGAAAACAAAGATTTCTGTTCTGCCATCTTCCTCAATGTTGCGCAGGCTTTTGATAAATTATGACATGATGGCTTAAAACATAAACTGAATGTGCTACTTCCACAGCCATACTCAGGACTACTGGAATCATACATTTCAGATAGTCTTTAGAGTAAAATAAAATGAAGTATACTCAAAATTAAAAGAAATTAACACGTTGGCTCCCAAGACAAATTTCAGGATATCGTTCTGTGGTACCATATGAGTCACCGGTGATACGTTAGGTTGAGGTTCATTCTGTACCGCGTATATCGCAGGTGATATTGAGCATTGTTTGTTGCAAATCAGTTTTAAAAAATGTGTGATTCAAATTTAAAGGAATTTATAATAAATAACCAGTGATACACGCGAGTAGGTATATAAAAAACGTAGTTTATTTTAATATTAATTAATTATAGTTACTGTTGTATATATATATATATATTTATTTTAATACAATGTATAAAAATACAATGTAGAAACTTCTAGGATATATTATACAGTAAGAGGTTAAAATTTAGGTTAAAACTACTTGGTACACAACAGAAATTTTCGAACTTTCTTTTATGGTTTGCACAGCAGTCAAATTACGTATCATCTGTGATACACATGGGAGCCAAAGTATTAAAGCAGGAGTACCAGAGGGAAGCGCCCTTGGACCCACTTTGTATCTGTTATACACTTGCGACATACCTCGACTAGAATAAGAAACTATAGTTACATTTGCAGATGATACTGCCATCCTAGCGATAGGCAAAGATCATGAAGAGGCTGCAAATAAACTACAAAACATCAGATAATCAAATACATAACTGGATCAAACTAAACTAAACGAAACCAAATCTTTTAATTAAGTGTAAAGGTTAAAGAAAAGGTCCTTTATTTCTCACAAATTGAGAAATAAAGGACCTTTTCTTTAACCTTTACACTTAATCCCTACTACTCACATATGGCTACCCTCACTCCAAAACAAATCTGTTAATACTAATTTTACTAACAAATACCAATTAATATAAATAATGACCAGATCCCTTATGCTAACTCAGCAAAATATCAAGGTATTACATTAGATGCAAGACTTCGCTGGAAGGTTCATGGTAAAAAGAAAAGACGAGTTAGATATAAAATCAAGAAAATGTATTGGTTACTTGGTGGACATTCCAGCCTATCTACATTATATCAAAATTATTTTACGTAAACAAGTCCTCAAACCAATTTGGACCCATGGCATTCAGCTCTGGGGTTGTGCCAGCAACTGTAATATTCTAATAATCCAGAGATTCCAGAACAAAGTATTGAAGAACACTACCAATGATCCTAGGAGCCACGAACACTGGCTCCACCAGCATGTGAATGTTGAGGCGATTGAGCTTCTTGACAACACGAACCTGACAAAAAGTGATTGTGGTAATAACCAAGCAAAACATTGCGCGGTTTAGTGTAACTAAGTTATCAGACCCTAAGGTATACTATCGAGTAGAAATTTAGTTTTTAAGATTGCAACCTTAGTTAAGTTAGTTTAGAACAAAATTACTCATTGATCATCTTTTGATCAGACTGTAATATTAATAAACCTCTTATGGAGACTTTAAAAAAAATGTATAGCCTAACTTATTTGTACTGAATACAATACTAATTTATATTTCTTTTACTAATACATTAATTTATATTAACAATATTAATCTGAACAGAATGATCTCTTAACTAAAACTAACTGTAACGGCAAAACTAGGCTATCGACTAAGAACAAAAATTGGTGGAGCTGCCATATATTAGACTGGTGGAATCACCAGAAATCAACGTATTTTCTAAAATTAATGATTTACTTCGACTAGCGAACCAAGCATAGGCGTATCATATGGGGTTTCGGAGGTTTGCCCACTTTATCGGATATTTTTGGTAACGGGAAAATCGAGGCCGCAAAAGGCCCAAATAAGGCCGAAGAATTAGAGCAGGACCGGACTGGTCTCTATATAATTTGCAAGGAGGCACCGAGAATTTTTATAAAATTACACAAAATGTAATTATTTAAGTAGGAATTAAAAAAATAAAATACAGAACAAAAATATTACTAATATTATATTATATTACGCTAGTATTTATTTACGTTCATGTTGTCAGTTAATTAATGACGATCTGAAGACTTATTAAGGGTTTTTGAGCCTCCGTTTCTTTTTAATTCCATGAACATTCGAGAGCTGTTCTCTTTCAGCTGAGCCTATCTAATGCAAAAAGAAATATCGTGACATTTCAATCTAGTGGTTTACAAGATTAGTTAGTGACAGTTATCAAATTTATCTCATTGTTTGTAAGTTCTAAAATGAAGATAAATAATGCTTGGCATTCTATATGTTACTCTTCACAGTTAAACAAACCCCCTTTTAATCCCCCATTTTTAATCCCCCATTTTTAATCAGATTTTTTCCGACTTAATAGGCTCCATTCCCATTATAAAAGCTTTATTTTTCCGGAAGAATTTAAGTTGATATCGTTTTTTGTTTATGTTTTAGGATTTTATTTTAATCCCTCTTAACCCCCTATAGTTATTCAGATATTTTTCAGAATCATTTAGGCTTTCATCCCCTTATAGAGCTTGATTTTTACTAAAAATTTTATGTTAATTTTGCTTTTCGGTTTTAATTTGATTTTTTTTTTAAATTTTAACCATCCTTAAACCCCCTTCGTTTTCGTTAAATGTTTTTTCTTAAGTTTCAACCCCCCATCTAACCCCTTCATATTCAAAATCAATAAGCTTTGTCCTCTTACGGGGCTTGATTTTAAATAAAAATGTCATGTTGATATCACTTTTCGTTGTTGATTTATAATTTTCTTAAATTTCAACCCCCCTTAACCCCCTATTTTGAATCAGATTTTTAAAAAATTAATAAGCTTTGTAAACATTGTAAAGCTTGATTTTTCCCAAAAATTTCAAGTTGATGTTGTTTTTAGTTTTGGTTTTATGGTTTTTTTAAAGTTTTAACCCCCCTTAACCTCCATTTTTAATCACATTTTCCTGAAAATTTTAAGTTCATTTTATTTTTCGTTTTTGACTTATCGTGCGGACAAAAAACGGACGGACATTTTTAAAAATTGTTTAAAATTATTAGATGAGAAGAATTTAGGTACAAAAATTTTTAAATTTGGATAAATATTAAAATGTTGGTTTTTTGAAAGTAAACTTATAATACTCTTCACAAATTAAAGAAATCATTTCGCCAATAAGTAATGGAAATGAACAAGAGGCACTATCAGGTTGTGAATGGATTTCTCTCATTTTTTGTAAAAGGCGAATTAGGAGTATCTTTAAAAGATAATGGGCCACTCAAAAATTCAAAGAGAAAGTGACATGTTTGTCGAATAGTACTCCGTTTCCGATTTTTGGCTAAAATCACTTTTTGACAGTCAAAATGAAGAAAAAATAGTTCTGCCTGTGACAAAAAAATGTGACAAATTTGGGATTTTACCTTTTGGTAATACATTAAAAATTCAGGAATCAACAATTTTCTGATTTATCTTATTTCACGATAATTTGACTGCAAGTACCTACCTACTATAAACTATTTTTTCCAGAAAATGATGTTGAAATCTTCTATTTTGAAAAATAGATTTAATTA